TGGCAACATTGACGAGTTCTTTTCGCATGAAAACCTAATGTACCTACCCACCATCTATTTCAGATGATGAAAAACTTCGCAAATCAACCAACAAATCAGATATTATTGACTGCATTCAAACAAAATGTGACATTAGCTTTAATTCCAGCCGACCGAATGTAACAGCTAAAATATTTGATAGAGCAGCTGTAATACACATGCTTAATCCTGCACATGCTAGCACATTTTCCGAATACTATGAACATGTTTTCAAACCATATTTCACAAAATGAAGAATAGTTCACGAATAGGTATTTTATTCGACAGTAACAGTTTGAAGGCAGATACTCGAGAAAGTAGACGAAGTGGCATAAGTATTTAAGTCTCAGACTCAACTAGAATTCCAACAAATCCAAGCAATTCCTATATGTTAATGGAAATGAGACACAATTGCTCCAGTTGCTTCCTGAGAAAATGGTGAGAGACGAGTATCCAGGAAAACAGGTTGTCTGTACTTATGATGACCAAGTCCTCACGTCAACAACTATGGATGTTTCAAGTATTTGTCCCGCCTCACACGAAGAGGCAGATGGCCGTTTACTTCTCCATGTTAAGCATGCAGTAGAAAGTGAACATACTCGCGTCTTAATTCGGTCTGTGGACTCAGAAGTAGTGGTCATTTAAATAACACTGTTACCACAAATACAAGATATTGATGAACTATGGATTGAGTATGGTTGTGGGAAATACAGAAATTTCATTGCAATTCATAAGATTTGTGCCACACGCTCACCGCAAATTTGCAGAAATTTATTGACTTTTCATTCTGTTATTGATGGTTGCGACACAGTTTACACATTTTGTGGCATTGGCAAAAAGACAGTTTGGAAGGTCTGGATGCCATTCCGTGAAATTGATTGTGTATGGCAGCCAAAGATGGCAGCGGCTCTGTACAGGCACCTCTGATTTTGATCATGAATGTCATGATCTGTTGCAACGCTTTGTTATTCTACTTTATGATCGAGCATCAGATCTCCAGAACATCAATACATGCAGACGAGTGTTATTTATAAGAAAGAATCGAGCAATCGAAAATATTTACGAGAATTCTACGCCGGAAAAAATATTTTCATAACAGGGGCCACCGGGTTTTTGGAGATATGCCTCCTACAACAGATGCTTTAAAATAACACATCAAACGAGCTCTCAAAACGAGAATCTGGAAAAACAGCCTCGATTCACAATACACAATACCTTCGCCAACCAACTGGGGATGGATACTAACTTTAGGAGGATCATACCAACCTGTGTGGAGAACAATGCCAGAAGTGTCAAAACACTGTGTACAACTTACCTCCTGTGCCGAAAGCGATGCACATCTTGTAAATGTGGTAAAATGGGAATACCTTGTACGATACTTTGTGTATGTGAAGGACAGTGCTCCGAGAGCAATTGGTGATCACAAGTGAATTAAATACATTATTTGGATTACATTGAAAATGATGTTATTAGATGTGGCTATTAAACTGGAATAATATTGTACAATATAGTTATCCCTTAAGCGTGGCTCATGTCACTGATTTTGGAATGGAAATGAAAGTTTCATCATCCTAAAAAAGCTAGAATTCATTTATAAAAACATTTTTGGCAGATTTTCAGCAAAACCTTATGAATAAAAATAAATCCAAATATTCAATTTAAATAAATAACAACGATAACCCGCATTATCGAAATTATAAATTTAAACTAACAAGCAAATTTACATGATTAGAAAATAGCAGTTTTATACAGGGTGTCCAAGATAAGAACGTCTATCATAGGGATCTTGTAAACGGTAACAGATACAGCAATGGTTGAATGGGAAAAAAGTTGCGCTATTCAATGACTAACAAAATGCATCCAACGAATTCCAAAAAAATTGACTTTTAGACTTCTAGAGATATTCAAAAAAAAACGAGATTTTTCGGTTTTTCATGAATATCTTCGGAAATTGTCAGAATTTTTAAAATTTATATATTGTTAGTCATTAAATAGCGAATTTTTTTTCCCGTTTAAGCATTTCCGTATCTATTACCGTCTACGAGATCCCTATGATAGACATCCTTATCTTGCACAACCTGTTTACCGTACGAAAGGTTTTTCCACGCACAAAAAAGAAAAAGGAAAAGCTACATATAATGAATTTTAAGTTATTTCGGAAGAAAAATCAACAAATTCATTAAATTTGTAAGTATTTCTGGTATTATGTACCTAATAATGTGCAATATACTGTTGGAGAGCACGTTTTTTTTTATCAGATATTATTCATTATTGATATAAGTTAATATCAAAATACAAACTCGAGTTATATAGGGAAATGTAGAATCATGTTCCAGAAATTAGGCCGCAATAATGATTATACGTCATCAACGTCGCTAGAAAAATTTGTGTCCGGCTTTTTATACTCGTCTATTCATGTACTATCTGAACCCAAAAGGGCGCATCGGATGCCAGACGGGAAGTATACTGGTATAATTTCCAGCTACCTCACCCCACTTATGGACATCTTCAAAACAACCTCGACGTCTTTTTTTGGGTTTCAGAGATTCAGACGTAATGCAGAACTAAAAAAGGCGTCTTTAAAACTTTGTGTGCTGTCTTGGCAGTATTGTTTCCATACTGCTTAGGACTCAAAATTTCTTTCCTGATCGGTATGAAGTTTCATTATAAGTGTCTAGCAATGATGCTTCTCAATAACGCTTTAGCGACTGTAACTGCTTCTGATTGGAAATTGAAACTTATTCTGGCCACGTTGAAAAATGGTTCTTAGCACCCACGAGGTTGGTACTTTTTCCTCGTCTTGTAGGAAAAGGTTCTTGAGTCTTTACTTCCATAGTCAGATGAGTTAGCAATTTCTTTCAACATCCCTACGACAATTGATTCTGTTATACCGATTGAATTGCATTTGAGCCAACGTCCTAGTGACTCCAAAATGGCAACCGCTCCTATTACCTGATGGAAATTCCTTGCCATTGTCCGTTTGCGAGCCAAAATGCAAAAGCAAATATTCCAATTCTTTTTCCTAACTTTGTTTTTTGTCGAAGTTTTCCTTGGTAATGTCGTCGTCAGTATTAGTATCAATTTCGGTAAGCCTACCTTCTGCTACGACACTTTTATATAATTCCTTTTGATGGAGAATATCCGTAATTTGGATGCTTGGGAATCAGTTCCCTGATGTCTGGAGCCGCCTTCTGCATACTGAATGAAAACTCTTCTACAATTCTTCCTTATATGTCGCAGTTGTAACAATTGGTCTTCTAGAACTCGAATTACGACCTTCTTTTACGCGGTATTCCTGCAGTATTCCCTCTAGCCTTTGAAAAATATATGTCTCGGTGTTCGGGCTTTCTTTGGAGATCCCTACTTTTGTTTATATTTTGGCAGTTTCATACTCCTGTGCATGAACGACGGTTCAGCAAGGGTGCTATGCCTACCTATATTCGTTATTAGGGCTTGGTGCAGGCCCGTATTTTCTTATTACTTTATCGATGAAGAACTGGATGTTTATTGGTTCAATAAAGTCTTCTGGAGCTTGTGAATATGCCAACCTGACCATTGTCTCGATTTTTAACTACTAAAGTCCTGCTCCTCTTCTGGCTATGATATACCTGACTAAGACAGCTGCATATTCATTTTGTTTTGCCTCAGGCATATTCCGGAGAATTTTGAGTTCCATCCCCGGTAAAGACAGTATATTAATGCAGTTGCTTTCTGCTATTCATTCCATCTCGTCTACATCTTTCAGGATGTTTCGGCATCAAATGTTAATGGACCCATTTTGCTGTGATTTTAGTTGTTTGGTTCATCGCGAATTTTCTCCATCTTCCTCCTACATAATTTCTTCTCGAATTCTTTTCAAACCTTCTCTTATTTCTTATTTTGCCATAACAGCCAACAGTGTTCTTTTTGTTCTTTTTTTGCCGTCTTCTTCTACTTCCTGTTTTTTTTTTTCTTGCGTTTGTCTTCTTGGTCTCGCAAAATTTGCTGAAGGGGTCCCGTTCTTCTTGTTTTTCTTTGTGTCGTCTTTCTTCTTCTTCGTTCTGTTTTCGGTTTACTCTTTTCTCGTCCACAGATAAGTGAGACCTACCTTTCCAAAATTAAATTACGTCTATTCGAGACAAACATCACGACGAAACTAGCACTATTAAAACACGTCGTTTAACTACAATCAAGCCTAATTAGTCAGAAAACTAAAACACAAGTTACTGTCTCACTATCCACTCGCGTTTCTTTTATTATTGGAGTATTAGTTTATTGGCGTTAAATTCACCATCGCCCGATTATTGGAACACGGTTGTTTAATTTGTCACCAACTTCTTCTTTAGGTGGCCGATTCCGTTTTATGGCGCTTCGTTGCTTCTTGAATTAGCTTACAATTCGCTTTCATTCGAATTCGCTGGATTATTACGTGATCAAAATCCATTTCAAAAGAAAAATATGTAAATAAACTTCCTCTGATAAGAGATAACTGAAGTGGATGATGCAGTATACATAATGATGCCAATATGATAAGCAAAGTTCCCGCAAAATGTATGAAGGGTGAATTTAACCGCATGGAAGAGTTATCCATGCAGCCAAAACTGTAAATAAATTATCAAAATGTTAATAGCAATAATTGTGACCATTGACCAAAAGAACTTATTGTTTCACTTATCATAACAGATTTGAGTTTTTCAATAACAAGTAATCTCAAAAAATAAGAAAAACGCAAAAGCAAACATGTTATTGCTGATATTTTTATCCATTGTTGGGTTTTTTGGTGAAATTGTTAAATAATACAATAATTGTCGGAAAAATTTATCATTGAGGAGTTAGAAGCAGGCCTCCTGAAATGAAATGTTACTTGTCATTCGTATCAAAGTGAAAAAATGCAAAAGAGCGCCAAAAATGCCGAGTGACAGCCATTTTTTGTGAATATCTACAGTTTACAGGAATAGGAAAGTTGTAAATTTATTAGAACACAATAATTATTGATTACTTGCCTACTGCAGCAATGTCATTGACAGTTCCACCTAGAGCGATTAGTTTGTCGATTGTCGCTTCGATGCATACGTTGACCGCTCTCAGAATTTCTTCTGGATCCTGTTCAACCCATCCTTCTTGAGGGCAAATTTGGGAAAGGGAAACTTGATGAGATGCTACAACATCTGTTGTTCCTCCCCTATGCAAGATATGGAAGATTTAAGAACGCAATTTAAAAGTATTCTAGGTCTTAAAAGAAAGATTTTTTTTTATAAACTTACTTGAACAGAATAAATCTGGCACTAGAAGTACCTTCATCAATGGCACCAATCAATGGACCCATTTTCAACTCACAAATAATAATTACTAACACAGACTTTGGTACATAATCTTGAATTTAGGAATTATTATTTAAATCGTACGGGAAAGTTCCAATAAACGATAATTAAATAATTAATATTGACTGGTAAATATTTGCTTGTTACTGAATGTGATATTTACTTAAATGCTTGAAAGTACTTGCGTGTTTCTCTCTCTTGCTTTCCGAATATGCGATAAACAAACAACTATTACGTGTAGGATATGAGGCTATAATTAAGTTGTAAAGGATACGCCTTATTTTTAGATACAGATTACTTTACTTAATGAGTTTTCGATTAGCGATTGCTTTGTTCAAATAAAAATAGATGTCGTTGAAAGTTTCATCATTTAATTTTTTAGAAAAATCAATACCTACCTTAAGTTACTTGAAGTGAAAAGTTAGTGAAAATTTGAAAATGTGAATATATGAAGGGTGAATACACAAAGCAACGTCTAATTTTAATGAAGTTATCATTTTCCTTTATACATGTAGTGTAACACTATTAACTAATTAAACAGCAGTCTAGGTTCAGTTTTTACAATAAAAGTCCTAATTTGCATCGGATTTAACGTAATTTCAAATTCGTCTTCGTCCAAGCATTTTGTGTGGTCATCCAACCACTGGTTAGCACCAAGAGTTGTTTCTCTAACTGATATGATTTGGAATGTGGTAAAGAGTTCCTAGAACATTTAAATTAGGAACCACTTTTACTAGGAAATTGCTATTTTACAATTAAATTCACGCTTGCTGGTTGAGATAGCTCGACGTCTTCGTTTATGGCAAATATGTGCTCGAGTCTGAGCAAGAAATTTGAATTGGTCCAGGGTTCTAGGGTGAGAATGTGCACGTTTTTAGGTAAAAGTGTTTGCAATCCCTGGAACTCCATTCTATTATTTTCCAGATAATCTTCAAAACTATCTTGATTTGGCAAAGAAATAAATGTCCAAGCATCTAGAAGCTTCCTTTCAGCAATCTCTTTTTCGAGAGCAACTATGTGTTCTTCTAAAAATTAGGAAAATATACTTTAAGGCACATTTATTTGATCGTTAGTTTTTCAATTCCTACTATCTTTAGAAATGGGATTAATATGTCCAGCCACCACATAATGAGAGCCTCTAACCACTACTCCTGTTCTATGAGCCCAATCAAATAATTGTTCATCTACACCTAATCTGTCATCTAGAGCAGTATTTCTGTGAAGCTTAAAACATGTTTCAATTATTTATTTACGAATGGAAATTTATTGTAGTACCATTAGTTCAATTTGTCCATCCTCCAAGCTAGCTCCTCCCTCAGCTCTATCAGTCAAAACACTGAATTGAAGATTTTGCTCTTCATCTTTCAAAGTAATTTTCGAAGTTACCGGGTAGTAATTTGCAGGCTCTGGTTCTTCGATAGTAACATCCCACGTAGGTCTATGGTTCCTAATACGTTTTAGCATTTCTCTGCCATTGGAGTCTGTGTAAAAGGTCGCGTTGGTATTTAGTTGGGTAGAATATTTAGTGATTACTTCCATGCCGTTCAACATACTGTAGAAGTTAACCATTAAAGTGCTATTATTACAAAATGTACATTACTTACTAGTTTGGTAAGGAGCCTATAATCCAATCGAACTCTAGAAACTTTTCATCATTGTATATTCGTACAGTTTGGCTTACCATATTGTTGATTACCTGAAATAAGATTTTTCCATGTTCTTAGTAAAGTGAAACATTTAAAGATCTTCTTAACTTAAACTAAGTATAGAATTTTAGGGAACTGGATATCAAGAGAGTACATGGAGTAGTATAAATGTACCTACTTATAGACAAAAAATTAAGTTGGTAATTCCTACCTGATGAATTTCACTAATCAATGGTCCAGTATACAATTTATTAGATTCAACTTTCTCAGCTACATTGGCCAAAGGCATATTAGGATCTCTTCTGAAAATATAAGCTCCCGATGGTCGGACATTATCAATCGCTCCAGAATAGTATTGGAAAGTTTGATTCAAATCAACAATAGCGTTTTCGAAAATAACTTTTCCGTTGAATCCTTGATGTGTATCAACATCAAACCCTATTTTACTATAGTGTAGGCAAAATGTACCATTATCCAATGGCGTTACATCATTGCCTAATTTTTTTTGTACATAAAATGATTTGAAGCCCAAAGGAGGAATGAATTCAGCTTTAAATACAAGTTCAACAGTGGCATTGCTGCTTCTGCCAGGTATTTTGAGGATTTTTGAGTGAATTGGCACAATTTGAGTTTGCACGGGGCTACCTGAAAAGTAAGCTTTTATCTTCAATCAATGTGTATTAAAACATTACCTGAAGGATCTAAAACTTTGTACGAAGTTCCCAAAACTGGTAATCTGACATATTTATGCACATATCTGCTCAATGGATTGTAAATTGTAACCAGGAACTTATTAGAACTTTCTGAAATAGAGCATTGGCTTATGTTGGTGAACGGACAGTGCTCAAATCTTGGATGATGCAGTTTGCTGATCAATGAGCTAAAAAATTCCATCATAAACTGGTAAATGCGTGTATAAGTGATCCTACTTAAGAGCCGCATTAGTTAAATTTTCACAATCATTCATGGCTTTACTTAGTATTTTTTCATAGTCATTAGCCACCACCATTTTTTCTGTTCCAGTTATAGCGTCATGATGCTGTAAGACTCCCATAGCTTCTCTAAGGCTATTCAGCTGTTGCTCGTGATCAGAAGATAATGCTGCTAAGGCAAACAGCTGCTTAGAAACCTGAATGAGTAAATTAGATTATGTCAAATTCATAAATCTGAAAAGTTACTTGCAAAAAATTATTGGCACTTCTCTCGAAGCGTTTGATTTGCGGCCTAGAAGTGTAATAACCAGTCCAGTAAGCATTTTTATCGGAAGCATACGGGAAAAAATCGTCGGTTTTCAAATTAGCATTTAATATTCCTTTGGTTTCGTTGTGAACAGCATACGCGTAGCATGCTGGTGTCGAATACATTATGTTGTATTGCTTACCGTCGATTTCACGTCCATTTATGTATCTTAATAAAGCACAAGGAATAAATAATAATTCACTTACCTACAAGATCAACATAAAATACATTTACACACAAAGAAACTTCAAAAAGTACGCACAATAGCGAGAATCCTGAAAACCATACAATATAAATAGTTCAGAAATAAGCATTTATCACAGCCTTAGCCATTAGAAAAAAATATTTGGTTCAGAAAGTCTATGAAACATTAAATTTTGAATCTTCAAAGATTTTAATGGCATGTTTCAGGAAAATTGATGTTTTTAACAGCCAACTAAACTAATAATTGATTTTATGTTTAGTTTTCCTGCCGTCAATATTATTATTGCATCGCTTACTTTATTAACTTGTCCATATTCATGAACCACATTTCAGCATTTTGGTAAGCAAAATCCTGACCCATTGGAATTAAGAGGTTGCTGGTTGAGTAACCTTGTATAGCAAAATGAACATAGTTTGCTAAAAGTTGCCTTGCCTGAAATTTGATTTATTTAGCAAAACTTAATGGTGTAATTTTATAACTAAGGTACTTTTTGGTTAATATTGTATTCAGGGCTTTCAGGGTCGTCTACCAGTGGTACGTGCTTGCAAGACATTTCATAGCAAAACCCATCGGGGGCGTCATAATGATTGAAAAGCACACTAGTGAAAATGTCAGAATTTTCGCCCAAGCTTTTGCTACCTCTCCACACCATGTCCATGCTTTTATTATGGATCCTCGTGATTTTATCTTGATAATCGATTCTTCCTAAAACGACTCCATCGTAACCGAGTTGGGCAAAAATTGAAGCCATTTCACTACTATGACCAAAAGGGTCGATTTGCCAACCCATTCTCGGCCTCCCACAATCACCAAATGTATCGTTGAGTCTCCTAAAAACAAAAAAAGCTTATATTTGCAGTAATCACGATTAAATGAACACCTTAATCCCCAAGTTATTTGATCAATGGTCGATTGATAGTTAACAACAGCCTCATCGTTCATTGACCAACCACCTCCAGTAAATTCAATTTGACCCCTTGTGACTAACTCGGTAAAGTCTTCTCGGGTTTTTTCATCTTGTAATTGCCACCATTTCCAGAAAAATGCTGTTTCTACCAAAATAAATCTAAAACATAATACTTAGTTGCCAAGCTCAAAAAATTATAACTATTAGGTAGGTACCTTCTGTTCGAGTATCTTTTGAGCGAGCTTAATACAGATTGATAAATATATTGAACAGCACCTACATAGTTGCCAACAGGAACTTAAAAAAATATTTTTAAGTTGAAAACATTATTTTGTTTTGATGGGTTTTGATTACGTACCTCCATAATAATATTGATCTATAGTTTTGACCCATCCTACGTCATCGTGGCTGTGCGGCACTAGGTGAATATTAATGCGGCCTTCTTTTATAGGATGACAAGCCTTGGAGAAACTATTCTAGATGCAAATTTTATGTATTTTTTATGATTTTTACCTTATAGCCACAGTTAATGTCTTCATCTGAAAACATTAGAACTGATTTTCCATTAGTACACCATAGAGACACTAGTATTAGTAAAATTCTATAAATCATATTGTTTTACAACAGTTAGAAAAAGGATTTTTTTAATTTAATTTTTATTGGCGTAGATAATTTCAAATTCCATCACTGGCAGTTACTGTAGTTGTAATAATCTAGTACGCTAATGTGGTTGAAAATACCTATAGATAACGCATATTTCAAGTGGTTTCATTACAAAATGAGAAAAAAATCAAAACACATTCGATATATCTGAGAGACTGCGTATGTATGTACATGGAAAATATATTGTCTATTCACAATCTGTAGTCCAAAGGTACAGGTAAAATGTATCACCTTTCGCAATGCTATTTGATAGGGAAAGGTGATAAATTCACCTATACCTTGGAAGAAATGAGAAATGGATGTCAATTTTCAATGAAGATAAATGAGAATATACATTTTTTTTTTTTGCTGAAGGCTAGGTACTATTTTCTTGAAGCCGGTCCTGTTGTTTCTATTTGTTAACTTGTTAATTAACTTGCTTCATTTCGGCTGTTTCTTATCGTGTTTTTACCATAGAATACTCTGTCTCTTTCTTGAAACTTGTTTTTTATTTAAAATCCTAAATTCTGTGGCAGAGTTATATTTCCAAATAAAACACGATGGCATGTCTCAGAGAAATCACCCCGTGGACTTGTTTTTCAATGTGGAAACCAGTAATGAAGGTACTATCCTCGTATCACAGTTCTCAAATGGAATTCTATAGTCATTCCAAACTTGAATTTTTCTCCAACGAGTGTTAAATTATACCGTTTAACTTCTGCCAAGCATGCTTGCAAGTTTTCTATCATGATTGTAGTTGTTTTTTTTTTCCTACAAATTGTAGGTATCATGCATAAGTATCTTATTCAATAATTATAGTGTTTTGTTGATACCTCTTTGATAACAAACACCATTTGTAATCCAGAAGGTATTGTAGTAAATTGGTATAAATTTTGTGATAGGCCTTATGAAGATCTATTGGCTTTGAGAAACAATTTTAAGAATTTTTGGTGGATTTTGTTCGCTTCATTTCCAAATAACTGGAATTTGGATAAAATCTACTTCATCCCTTTAATCGAATGTTGATCCGATTAGCTATATTTACGGCTTGCGAGTCAATAAATCATTTACATTTTTACCTACAGATGTTTAAGAAATAAAATCTACTTTTAAATCTGGAAAAACCGAAACGTAATGGGATCAGATGGTATTTCAATAAAAACTTCAAAAGAACAAAGAACTTCCTGATGGAAGCCTTACATGTTCTAACATCTGTAATTGACTTCTCCTTCACTTCTGGCCAACCACTCTGAAACAGGCATAGGTAGTACGAACCCACAGGAACGGTGATACCAAAGATCCGTCAAATTACCGACCAATATCTTTACTCTCAACCATATCAAAGGTGATTGAAAAGCTCGTAAAAAAACACATAATGGAATTCTTATCTGAGCATATCATATTAAATCCCGCTCAATTTGGCTTCCTACCAAAAAAAAGACACCCATGATGCTATGTTTCATGTGATGCAAAAACTCTTTCCTTCTATTTTTTTATTGTAGTTTATTTGAAATTTAGCTTTGTCAATAAGGAAGGATCTCCAGGATCTGTGTAATCTTTGACAATAAAGCATGCTTACTATTTACCTACTAGTACTCAGTTTTCCCCAAGAGGCGCAATGGAAGAAATAATGCAATTGAATGTCCAGCAAGGTACCTTGATCTAAATCGTGTGGACAGGGGCGGATTAAGAATTTTTTCGCCCCTGTGCGATTAAAATGATTTCGCCCCCTTCCAGGCTCTGGCTTATCATCATCATTTCATTTTTTTCCATTTGAAGATTATTCTTTAATATAAAAAAGACAAATACTATACAGGTAATAAAATAACATAAAATAAGAAATAAAATAAAATTAAAAGATGGCCTTATGAGCAACAAATAAGCAAAAATAAGAAGTTGGTTAACTTTTAACTTCTTATTTTATTTTATGTGAAAATGCTATTTGCGCATGTCACGACGTCGATTAGATTAGACCGATGACAGTTCAGGCGCATGGTGATTGGTTCAAAATAATTCTAATTTTATTTTATATTTTTCTGTATAAACGCCTTATTTCTTATTTTGCTATTTGTTATGTTATTTCTTATTTTATTTTATTTTATTTCCTGTATAAATCCAGCTTTAGTTTAGGGCTGTTTTTTTTTATTTTTATTTTTTTTTAATTTTTTGTGGTGCAAACTGCCTACGTCAAGGCGAGAAAAGACATGCTGCCTACGTCACAATTAGTGATTTGGCGTGGTGGAGGGCTTCAGGTTTGTTCTACACAGATCTTATGAGGATAGGCTATACTGTAGTAGTGTGTATTATCCTTGATTAGGTTAGACATCCTCTCATATTGCCGGATTTGGCTGTTTTTCCTTGAATAAGGGTTTTATGTTTGAAAAAACTTGAACCTCGGAAAACTTTTGATTGTAGGTAAACTATTTTGTCCGATATTTTATTTCTGTAAAAATTTTATAGGTAATTTTGTGTAGGAAGTCGAGTTTTTATCATTTCGCTGTCTGCTTTTCTCATTTTTTCCTCTTATTTTTCTTAGAGATTTTTCGGAATTTTCTGCCCCCTTTTGATTTCTCGCCCCTGGGCGATCGCCCAATTCCGTCTTATGGTTAATCCGGCCCTGCCTGCGGATTTTTTTCTATGAGGCGACCATAAGACAAAAAATTATCTCACATGACCAGAAAGTTTGGAAGATCTCTGCCAACGCATACAGATGAAATGCAACAAATATCACCACAGCTAATTCGTAATGTATGCTGAGTGAGTGAATTTTATTCCCAACAAAAGTTTTATTAGGACAGAAATGGTTTTTTTCAGATTCTGTCATAATGATAGCAATCGTCTTAAAGATGTTGTTGGCTCTATGGGAAATATGGAAAACTTTTTTGCTGTACTATCTGACACAAATAATATCTATGTAATAAATTCTATATGTGTGCGTCAAAGGTTTCCTCTCGTCCCTTGCATGAACAAACCTTTAATAATTCCCACAAAATCTTAAATTAACAGCGCCGCGACGTCGACGACGCCTGCGTCGCCTCATCGATGTATTTTCGTCCGGACGAGTTTTCCTCGCTCAGTTTTTCGCGAAATCGCTTACGGCCACACGGGGCCTTTCGACCGATTATCGAAAAATCGGATTATTTTTCGAAATTTTGTGCACTATATGGAAAATTGTATCGAATAGGGAAATTTTGATTTTCCTCGATTGATAACGAGAGATATTCGAGGACTTTGTGTGACTTGTAAGTGTGTGATAAATACAATCGACAGCTGATATCTAGCGCAATCAGCTTGGATTTTATTTTCGACCTGGAATCGCTGCTACAGATGACTTATCGCTGTTTGTGCCAAAAATTTGCCAGAGATTTATTGAAATTCTAGGTATGTGTTTATTGGCAATCGTTTTAATTTGAAATCCAGATCAGAATCTTATTGAAAATAGTAGTTATTTGTCCAGACAAACTTTGGCGATCTGATGTATGTTGTAAATAAAACCAAAGATAAAACCTACAAACCTAAGATCAATTATTTACAAACGAATTTTGAAGAAAATTAATTGAATTAAAGGAAAATCATGAACCAAAACTACCTAACTTGCCTTTCTGCAAACTTTACCCCGATTTTTCTGGAAAATATCATGTGGGATGATAAGCAGAGGTACTCGGTAACTTAGGTACTTATCATATCATGAATATTATACACGAAATCCATGATCTATGGGTTATGTGTCTCTTTTTGGTCCACGTTTATTTTCACGTTTATTTTCCCTGAAAAATTATAGGTAAGAAGCGGAACTTCTCAAAGTTTCTCCCAGAACTCAAATCCAAACAAGATTTTTTGGGAGTATTGCCACACTTGTCTTCTGCACCGGATTTTCCAATGGAAACTATCGGTACTCATCATAGATTTTTTATTTAGTTCGTTCATGGGTTATGGGAAGGAGGAAACTGGTGGCTGATGGCCAACGCTGTCACACTTAAATGACGAATGCACCTTGAACTGACAAACAAATATTGTCTGTCAATGGGCTATCATGACAACATTGGCCACCAGCTTCCCGCCACTCTCGATACCGGGGCTTGTGGATATTTTTTTGTAACTTTTGGTAAACAAATGATAAGTGAAAACAACGCATCACTAGTTTTGCTTATCAAAATAAACAGTTTAAGGCAAATCCTGGTAGGCTCAACCAAAAAACAAATTTAATTTTGAGAATTTCATACATCTGTCAAAACTGGTATTCCAACAATAAACTGACATGTTTTGATTGTTGATTTGAACCAGTCAGATTGGAATTACGCGATAATTTGCACTAGTGCAAATTATCAGATAATTGCATAGTAACTGGTGCGAAAACTGGTGTTTTGACATTGTTTGACAAAAAATTTAAATTTTTGATTTATGAAATTCTCTCATTAAATACAACTCGTGCAATGGAAATATATTTATAATTTTCGACAAATTTGCACTGAAAAAGGCACTCGTGCACTACGTGCACTCGTGCTCTTTTTCAACTAAAAATGCATTCGGGCAAATTTCCCAAAAATTATCAATAATTTCCATTGCACTAGTTATATTACTATTGAAAATTTTCAAACTTCGTCAAACACCTTGAAATTTGATATTGCCATATACAGAATGATCCCCCCAAGATTTCAAAACTACTAAAAAAATATTAGATTTATGAAGCTACGGTCACTACCGGCATAGATAAGACTGTCGGTAAAACAGGAAGTTGCAAGAGTTTCACACATAGGTCAAAAGATGACATTTGCAAAGCCTAAACTCTACACCGAAATTCATTTCCATCGGAAAAAAACTAAAAAAATGGCAGAGCAAAAGCGATCTCGTAGACACCGGCTATAGACTTTCAGCTGTATGCAACATCCTCTTTTAACTCAAAAGCGCTTTTCAAAACTGCTCACTTCTAAAAATGTGTATTCTAAGGATTACAAATTTTTAAAGGTACTACTTTTAAAAACGCTTTTAAGTTAAAAGAGGATGTTGCATACAGCTGTAAATGCTTTTCCCACTGTTTCACAATGTTTTCTATAGGCATCGCTACATGATGATGGTATCTTGTTTTTTTTTTTTCGAAGACCTGATAGAATATACACACAGCAAAATAGTTTTTTGAGGTTCTTGGTTCTTGTAGAGACTTGTGCAGCTGTTGGGATTTATATTTCTTATTTACTGCTATCAGTACGCCTCCATTTCTCCGTTTGCCAGTGATTGTACTATCTCTGTCCTTTCGGTATATGTTGTAGATATCCATGCCAATTCACCTCTAATGAAATCCGAATTCAATGATGTTTCAGTAAGCAAAATCACATCACATTGATTGAGTGCAACATTATTACGAAGCCTATATAGTTTAGTTCCAAGACTATTCATGCTCTGACAGAAAACATTTATATTGGAACTGTTTAGTACCTGGTTCGAGGAGGGATCCTTGGTTCCAATGAAAATTTGAATGGAAATTTGGACTACCCCGATTGCCAGTGTATGATCCTGCACGTGCAATACTGGCATGGAACTGACCCATACCCATCTTACCTGGTGCGAAGGTTGAATTTGAACTCTCGGACAATGATATTTTCATGCCGAAAATTGTCAGCTTCTATCTGTCTAATCCTACCGTGAATGATGATGAGCCACTTTTGGTCCTTAGTTGGAAAATGAGATTTCCCCTAGATTTGTAACGCTGGCCTTAGTCTCAACATAAGCCAACACCGACTCACATGTAGCACTGCTTTGTACTTGGCTTAAAATTATATGTAGCCATTTTTTTGTTGGAACTCCTATGAACTGGACTGGACATCTTCAATATTCCCATTGTGCCGAACTACATTAACAAAATCAGCATTCTCTGTGATTGATGCACTGGAAGACTGTCCATCCTTCAGTTGGGCATATATATCCACATTATCCACATTGCTGTGTGCCGTAGCCGAATCTAGAGAGTGTTATTTGTGCGCCCTCAAACTCACCTTGTTCATTGGCTGCATGTTTTGCTGTTCCTTATGTAGTAAGTCTATCATTTTGGTTTTATCTCTAATTATTGGGGATTTTATCTGCTATGGTAGATTTGAGCAACTGAATTTCTTCTTCCATATGTCGGATTTTCTCGGCATAGTATTTGCTTTGTTTCACAGTTGATCAACAATTTGACTTCGGTAACAAAGGAAAACAGGTCCCACAGTAATCTAGATTGCATTAGGTCACATTTAACAATATTATTCCCATCGTTGTCCTCGGAAAAATTCAATTTGCATGGAGCACAAGTGGTCATTGTCTATAGGTTAGAAAGACAATTTTTTCTTACATAAAATTATTGAATTTGACATTCGTCAAAAAAGCCAAACAACCAACACCTTGTTTTACAGATAATGAAATGTCAGTTTCTTGAAAATCTGTCGAGGTTAGTAGTATTTTCAAGTGCTAAAAATGCAAGAAAATACAGAAGAAAAAGGGGGTTACATCAATCCCTTGAAAAATATAGATGAGGCGGCCATTCGGGCTACCGCAGTTGTTCAAATTTTACCATTAATATCAATGTAAATAACTAAAAATACAAACTTTTTTTGACGTTCGCTCGGAAATTTTGATGTTTCATTTTTAACACTAGGCTATAAAGACCTTATGGCACTAGTGCGATAAGGTAACGTTTTTAATGCTACGGGGGGGTGTTAAAAATTGTATTTTTCTATTTTGATTTCATATCGAAGTCTTTTCGACACTAAAAGTAGTGTCGAAAAGAAGCTCTTTGCGACACTCCTTTTTTACTTATCGGAAGTTGGTAACACTGGCTGACTGATGGCCATTGAACTGTCATTCGCGATTTTATAGAAGATTTAATACTATATTTGGCATGTAGTGTTACCAACCTAAAAATAAAATTTCCAAGAAAAATTTGTTTTTTCTAATTAAACAATACCAAAATAGAAAAAATAGTATAAAATATTCGTTTCATAAGACATTTTATGAAACTTGTATTTTAATGTACTATTTTGACACGTTTTTCAAAAAAAACAATTAATAGAGCAGGCGCTACAAGTAGTTGAGTATGCAAAATGTGAGGACTGGCAAAAATACTCAAATTCGTATTCTTGGAAAAACGTACATCTTGCCGGCAGCTGGAGTGGTCCCTAACTCTCTTGCCATCTCCCAATGCAAAGTTATATTGAAAATATGACAATTTCAAGTCATTTCACAATAATTCCTATTGATTGTTCCTAAGGCTTTCTTTTCAAGCACTCAAAATAAATTACCTACCACTTGGTGGATATTTTTGAAATTCTGCTTCAAAATATACACAAGTAGAAGAAAACTGCGAGCTGAATAAGGGCTTATTTTTGACCTTCCCTGTTCCTGTAGTTTTGAAAAAATTTAAAATAGCCAATTGGCATATTATTTTTTTATTAAGAATTCAAAAATGGTACCAAAAAATCATTTGAACTAAAAACCAATGAGTTACGACATAGATGAACTGTTTTTTAAATGGAACACCCTGTTTATTATATAATTTCTGGTAAAGTCGCATTTTTAACGTCTATTCTTTTGAAAATATTTGATATTCCGGTAGCTATTTTTATTTTATTTTAATGTTTTATCCTTAATAATTTCAGCTTCACCTGTTCAAAACATCTGTGAGGGCGACAAAATAATGTCAAATTTCTTCGCTTCACGGCACGTGGCTAATCTCAACTTTCTCTGTACTTAATGGGATCTATCTTGCGTTTTTGAGGATGCGAGTTTCTTCTTTCCTGTTGAAGTTCTCCGTATATTTGTGGATTTCTATAGCTTCACGTAGGTACAAAACGATTGGTGGTATCTGGAATAGTCGGTGCAAGAAGCTTGACCTTACCAAAAAGTATTTCATGATTCCCTTCACTAAGCGCATGTCCCGCAACTGCCGATTTTTCCGATTGTCCTGGTCTGCAGTTTCTTTTGTGTTCGTTCATCCTGGTTCCCATGGATCTTTTTGTCGTTCCTATGTATACCTTACCACATGTGTGTGGTATACGATAGACTCCAGCGCTTGACAGTGGGTTCCTCTTATCCTTGGCTGATCTGATTGATTGCTGTATTTTCCTTGTTAGCTTGAAGATTGTTTTTATGTTGTGTTTCTTCAAGGCGTTCCCTATCCTGTTTGTCACCTGAGAAATGGAAGGCAGATATACATTAGCCACCACTGGTTATTCATCCACGTTTTGTCGTGTGGCAGTTTTGGGTCGCATGGCCCTGTCGATTTCAGATGCATTGTAACCATTCGAAAGAAAGACCGACTTGAGCAGATGACCCAATTCTTGCTCGAGATATTGTGGCTCGCAAATGTTCCGAGCACGTTCTGTTAATTTTGTTATAATTTCACGTTTTTGTCTTGGATGGTGGTTTGAGCGTGCATGCAGGTACCTGTCTATGTGTGTAGGTTTTCGGTACACTGAGTGGCTTTGTTTTCCTCCGGATTTCTTTATGAGCACATCTAAGAAGGCGATTTCCTGGTTTTTTTCCTTTTCCATGGTGAATTCTATGCCAGGATGTCGCTCGTTCAGGTGGCCTAGGAAGTTGTTAAACTTCTCTTCCCCATGACTCCAAATCACAAAAGTATCCATCTACGTATGGAAACCATACCGTCTGTGGTCAAAAGATTTTATAGCTTTCCCCTCGAAATTCTCCATAAAGGAGTTGGCTATGCCGGGCTGAACGGACTTCCCATAGCTACACCGTCCGTTTGCTCGTAGAAATCGCCGTTCCAGAGGAAGTAACTACCAGTTGATTGCTCCGCTACGCGTCGTTCGGCAGTTTGACCTACCTGATGCAGTTAGTTCCTTTGTATCACTATTATTTCTTCCAAACTAATTATTTAAAAAAAGAGATGAATTTGAGCACGAGATTGAGGAATTGTCAAGTTTCGAGAGTGTTGTTAGAGAAGTTGAAGAAAATGTTCAAGATATAGAACATGTTCAATAGAACAATCCAGAAGCTGAGGTATTATCTGAAGACAAAAGTATTTGTATGTACCTATGTACTAAAACAAGCTTCATCTGTGTTTTTATTATACTTAAAAATGAGTTGTCAGATGTAACAGTCAATAGAAGAAGTCCAAAAATAAAAATTCATTTTATCCAATTTACCTATATAGATTTTCCCTCGGATTTTCCACATCATATTAAGAATACACACTTAGTATTATATAAGAACTGACAAGTAACATTATTATAATCTTTGACAGCAATTGCGTAAGTACCTCTACCTAATAAACCAATTTTTTTCCAGAAACCACTCAACTACGCGAAAATGACCGGTCCCAGCCCTTACAGCGCTTACCGCCACAGCGAACCCAGAACTATGCCTCTTGCTCAGAGTACCGACCAAGGACTGGGTACCAAGAAAACCATGCTTGTCCTAGTAGTAGTGGTAGGATGCTTCGCTGTGCTTTGGCCGAAACTTTTCTATCCAATGTTAGTTAACAGCGCCAATCAGCATAGCAAACCTGGACCTGTTGATAAAACTACTGGTAAGAACCACCACTCATTACTAGTTTTATTACCTGAAACCTCACACTGATTTTTTAATTGAGAACTTTCCAGTACCAGATTTGAAAGAAAATCAACAAATTATCTAGGTAGTCAGCCTCTTTTCATTTTCAATCTGATTTGCATTACTGTTTCATAATTCCTTTTTTTCTCCCATAATCTCTAGGATGTTGTGACGTCATATCAGAACTGGACTTCGAAACAATAAAAATAATGTCCCAGCTCTGCAGTACTATCATAGATACTACGGGAAAACCACCTCCAACACCTAAAGAAATAGTAATCCAATGTAAAAAAGCAGTGCTAGAAACTTGCGGTATAGACATATCGGCAGCTTTTCAAGATAGAATTTCTTTGGGACACTCGGCCAAACAGATTTTGGAAGAAGTGAGATCCTTAAATGGTTCTTTGTGTTTGAAGTACAACTTTGGCGTGTCGCCTTGGCGATTGGGAGTTCCGCATCGAGTTAATGTTAATTTGGATCCTGGTAATAGAGAGGAAAATTGACTGTGACACTAACAATAACTAAATATTTTATGTGGATATAATTCATGAGTTCATTGTGCTAATAACTTATTTACTAATATTTACTTTTCCTTAGCTTTTGGTACCTATTATCCAAATTCTAGACGTCTATCCTTTGCATCATCAGATTGAGTAATGACTTATATTTTGTTTTCTTACAGACATAAAACAAGAAAGGCCTGCTCATCTTCGACCTGGAATGATACATCCAGCATTCAGAGAACGAGGTAGGGCTATTCCAGAGTCTGAGACAACAAATGTGCCAAAGAAAACAGGACCGCCGCCTAGGATTGTCGAAGGACGAGTGAGTACCTACCAAATTTATTTTACAATTCTTCAAAAATTTCTGAAGGCTATTGCGATGGAAAATAAAGGCCGAGGGTAACTTAAAAATTTGAAAACTTATTCAAAATGTTTGTTTAAAGATCTACCTAGTTCGTTTTCTTAAAAACAACATAAATATCTCCTTTATTATTTCGGTTTTGTTCTCATTCCGAGACAAGCGTCAAGGCATGAAAAACTTTAAACTTACTAGAATATTTATCCTACTACTTTCAAGTTTGCCTCTTGGCATGTTTTCCCTACCCAACAGTTTGAAGAGAAGAATAAATGAACAGGGAATCAAAAACACAGCCTTTTTTATATACAAGATTGACATGAGGTTATTTTCCTTTTAATTCTTTTTAGATTTTAAAGTAGCATCGCAAAGGAAAGAGAGATGTAGGACAAAGTAACAATATCCGAAAAGCTTAATGAAAAGGACTTAATGCATGTATTGTATTAAATGCTTTATTTTGGAGTTCAAAATTAGCTTGTAAAATAGAGATTTCAAGAGGTTATAAACCAACAGTAAAGAAATTAACATAAACTAAAATTGCTAAAATGTTTTCAATCAGGTAATACCTAACCAGTAGCTAGATAATTTAGGCTCCAAAATGAACTCAAAATATTACGTGCACAGAAAGTAATGCAGGTAGTCAAATGTTGGAGACATTCCAACTGAATATGTGTATTTCTGTCACAATAATTCTATTTTAAGTGTAGATTGTCTAGGGTTCCATACATACTCAAATCAAAGTGAATTATTAAAAGATACCTAGCAGAAGTAATTATATCATAGGTACAACTAATCTATACTTACATAAAGATCAAAGTGACGTAAAATTCAAATGGGCTACAGAAAACTAGTTCATCTTTCCTGCCTGACTTAACACTTTACTAGATTTATCCCCAGTTATTTATGGTAAATCTTGACCGTTTCTTCATTCCTTTTAGAAGTTGAAATGAAAAAAAAAAATATTTGTTTATCATTTACTTCTTCGCATTGATGATCTTGTAAAAAAAAAATGCCCTTTTGGTAATGCCCAAAAGAGAACTATTGCGAATAATTCGAATCAACAATTCGTAAATTCCCAAACTTTTCATAACTTTACATGGATAATTAGATTTCTTTTGACCATTTTAGGGACAAAAATATACTTAGTCGCTCCTTGAGGTTCCCTCAAGCCTTGAACATCTAGAATTGACATGACCTCCAAAATAGCTCCAGGAATGAATCAATGAACGACTATGTACATTCGACCCTCAAATGATTTGAAAGTAATTAATAGCATTATAATTATACCTACTACACCGGATATTAAGTTAACTACTGAACCTTTTCTAGAAACGTTATTGCTTAAATACAAACAAAACAGGTAGGTACCTATATTATACATACTTTTATTACGCGTTTCATCACCATAAATAGCTATAAACCTCTTAGGTTGGAGAAATTATGCGCAATCTTGCAAGACTGCTTTTTTGTGACTAGAAAATTTGCTTGCGTTCTTTTCGAATTCACTGGACGCGATTTTCTTAGTCATCATTGTGGTTTCAAAAGTGTAGGCTTATATGTCAGAAAATTGAGAGTGTTTTGTTCCATGACTTGAAAAAAAAACTTAGCTACTAACCCTACATTTTGTTTTTTTGTTTACCTTGATAACTTCAAAAACAAAAAAGTACGGTGCATAAGGGATATCTCAGTTGCCATTGGAGTTAGAAGGAAGCGATTTTCACGAACGTGGGTCTACTTTTCTGTTAAACGCTAGATGCCGTCACCAAAATTGTCATCGGACTTTTCGTTTCTCAGATATAAGGTGTTTTTGAAAATGTTGCAGTTTGGGACACCCCCTGTATCTTGCCATCTTGCATAAGTGATCGAAAACGTGACAACGGGTTCTTATAGATATTTTCACGTAGATTCCTGTAGTGTAAAAAGTTTTTCTCTAGAAGTGCTGCTTTTCAAATTAGGAACCAAACATACGTTTTTTAAAATAAGACACCCTATATATATGTTATAAACCTATAGGATAGCTCATCTGCTTTTGCTAATTTCAATGATATAATATTCGATAGGTCACGAGAGCTTCGTCCAGCCGCGCTCCGTATTGTTAATTTGATTGTTTCCGGCACGCGTGGTTGGTTTTTATTTAGATTATTGCAGGTGACACAGGAAAAACATATGTAAATTCAATTTACTTCACTTTCGTGACGTCATAGGGTGAGATGCGGTACCTTTATAGAGCCATATCTTCAGTATTATTTTTCATAGAGGGGTGCGGCTTCCACTGTTATACTCAAGACGAGTTTAAACAACTTCATAACTTTAATTTAGTGCATAAGCTTTAAAGTTTTAAATTTATTAATTTCTATGGAAGCGTTTATACATGTATTTAATGCTCAATTCATAATTTAGTTCATAATGGATAACCTTAAAAGTTCCCAACATTTAACTTTTATGCATTAAATTATATATGAAAAAACTGGACCTTTCGAGTTCTGTAAGTGTCAAATTTCAAAATATCAATAGAATATTAATGACATTCCAAAAATTATGTATTAAATTATGAAGTTGTTTAAACTGGGGCTTTGAGTTATGTATTAATTTACGCATTAAATTATGAAAAACTTACGACTTAAATTTATCAAAAGTTGTTTAAATCCACCTTTAGATTTTTTTTCTCTTTTTTTTTGAGATGAAGTTGTTTTTTTGGCGCACACATACTTGTAAACGCTAACGGCTGTAGGTGGGGTGTCAATATATAAAAAAACACCCTGTACATAAAAAAAAAAAATTCAACGAAACCCATCATAGAACTTGAAGAAAATCTTATGACAATACTGTCTAAAGAGCCACACTGTACCATCATTTTTATAAAAACTATTTATGATTGAATAAATAAAACAAACAAAAATTTTCTGTTTTATTCAATAATATTAACACTTTTCATGTTTAAATACATTTTTTGGTGAGAATTTTTCCACTTCTTCCAGGAATTGTTCCAGTTCTTTGATCCTCTGCAGAAAAACATAACTTTTTTATAGTTTTCGGCTTTTTTCATACATTCTTCTCGTTGTAAAATTAATCCATTCCATAAACTGCCTCATGCTTTGCCAATATGCATCAAATGGGTCTGCAATATTCTTCCGGCTGGATGTGTGTTTGTTGTGAAAATAAATCATTGTCTAGTGTTGCAATTTTTTGGATCAACTTTTGGATTATCCAATAAGAAATTTCAGGTAAAATGTTAACTTTATATAACAAGATACCGATAAAAAGGTTCTTGTATTTACCAAAAACCAGTTTACAATATAACAAAAAAAAATATATCAAACAATACATTTGAGTAGGTAGGTAAAGTTTGTTTCACCAGGGTTTGTACTTGCCACCAGAATTTGTCTTCCTTGTTTAACAAATAAAAATTGACTGAAACAAATCAATAACCTCAAAAACGTTCGTCGGCTCTTAAACCAGACGTCATTCATTTTAATTTGTCAAAAAAATTGAATGTGTCATATGAATTAATCTACGACAACCCGTTTTTGTCAAGTTTCAAGGTTAAGTATGAACCCTGGTGAAACGAACTTTACCTATGTACTTAAATATATGTGCTTCCAAACTAAAACCTCTGGGAAACGTGAAATTGAAATTTTAGTACAATCTATTAATATAAAATATGATTTTAATTGAAATATTTGAAAATATTTTTTTTTTTTTAAATATTCACTTAATAATTTTAAAGAGTCTTGTTTTATCAATAATGCACGATTTTTAATAATATTGTCGCGGCTTTGGGTTGCCTGCTGACAAAAATCTTGGGTTCGTTGTTCGTTTCGTTTATTCCAAAAATCAAAGTCCAATTAACACAGCAATAATTTATTCCACTTAACAAAACACTCTGACACTAATTACTTTATTAACAAACTCAACAATTAAACTCTTTACAATCACTATTTAAATCGTATCACACTCGAACTGAAACTAACTTACAAACCAATGCCGGCCTTCTTATATATCCCTAAATCTATTCCTGTGAAATCTAGAATACACACGATAATCTAATTTTCCAGATTAAAGTAGAATAATTCGCTAGATTCTAGTATTTCCACGATCGATTCTTGACAGCCTGGCGGACGTTTAGCTTATTGTGACACTGCCCTCCTCTTAAGGTTGATCGTCCCGATCAACTTCACGCCCATGATATTTCGCCAACCTGTCCAGATGTACAACTTTCATCTTACTCCTGGTGTTGCGCTGGACTCGATAAACCAAATCATTGATCCTCTTGATTACTCTATAGGGTCCTTCCCATGCTGAAGACAATTTCGGTGATACTCCTTTCTTCCTTACTGGGTTATACAACCACACTAAATCACCTTCTTGAAATCCGACCGAATTGGCCTTCAAGTCGTATCTGGTCTTCATTCGGTCACTGGCTAGTTGAATATGCTCCCGAGCAAAATCATGGATACCCAGAAGTCGTGCCCTTACTTCGTCGGCATAATCTCGGATTTCTCTTCGTTCTTCTTCGGGTACTCCAAACATCAGATCGCAAGGTAGCCTGAGTTCCCTTCCAAAAACAATTCTAGCCGGACTTTCACCTGTTGAATCGTGAACAGCCGCTCTGTAAGCCATTAAAAAGAGAGGCAAATGCTTGTCCCAATCTCGTTGGTTCTTTGCGACCACTTTTGTCAGGTGTTCCTCTATGGTCTTATTGAATCGTTCTACCATGCCATCAGACTGAGGGTGTAAAGGTGTTGTCCTTGTCTTACGAATGCCCATGATCTCACAAACTTTCTTAAAGATGGCAGATTCGAAGTTTCGTCCTTGGTCTGAATGTAACTCTAGTGGCACACCATGACGACTAAAAACTTCGTCCACTAGCACCTGGGCAACAGTGATGGCTTCTTGATTGGGAATAGCGAAAACTTCTGGCCATTTACTGAAGTAATCCATGATAACTAAGATGTATTTGTTACCAC